ATTGCAAAAGAGACAGTTGGTAAAAAAAACACTGTGTGTAGGAGCAGCTGTAAGATAGAATGGGTGTAAAGAGTGGCTGTAAAAGGTGGCTGTAAAAGAGGTAAGAAACTGATCGAATACTGAAACAGAAACATAGATGACAAGAAACTGAGCTATCAAAAACTGGTTTCATTCGGTAAGGGTGGTCGAGTGATTCAAGGTGGGCGTGTTCTAGAGGGTGAACTAAGTCTAAAGGTAGGCGTGGTCTAGAGGGTGAACTTAGTCTAAAGGTGGGCGTGGTCTAGAGCAGTGGTTCCCAACCTTTTTCGAGTGGCGACCCCCTTTTATAAAAAGTAAGTGACCCGCGACCCCCATAAAATTAAAAGCCAAAATTAGTATGGACATTAATAAGGACTAAAATAAGATTTCCTATAAGACATTCAATATGAACTACTCTTGATAACTGTTTCAATACGATGAGTAAAATTGTATGCTATTTACTAAACATTCGCGGTTAAGTTATTGTTAACGCCAACCTATGTCATTATCAACATTAAATGTATTTCTTAATTTTGTTTTTGAAAATTGTTTTTGTGTTGAAAGTCGATTCTCGAAAATACGTTTGGGTATGAATGGTGAATACTACACCAAAATTATGTGTGCAGTTTTTCATCTTACGCGGAATCATTCTGCAAATCAAATAATTCATCTTGTAATTCATCGGGAATGCTAGCAACATCAAGGGAAGAAGGGAATGTGTCATTCTTCTTCTTTCTACTCAGATAAATGGGCCGCAGTTCGTTTTCAAGAGATTCAAGATGCCCAGAAATTGCTTCTTTCACAATTTTAATTATCTCACAATCAGTTTCATCTACCACACTGCAGAGTTTCTCAAATTTACATTTCCAAGATTTATTTTCTTCGCCAATTCTGCAGCTTTGATAAAAATGCCCCGAGATTATCATGGAAAGTGATAATATTCGTTCATTTTCCCTGAAGCTTCAAGTTAAGCTTACGTTCAGAGTTTCTTCCAGGCATCTCTTCGGGCCACCCCGAAATTTTTTTACCGCCCCCCCCCCCCCCCCGAACGAAATGAAATTTATATAATTTATATAGAAAATCTATACTTTTAACAGTGTCCGCCCCCCCCCCCCCCCCCCGAAGAAAGTCTACCGCCCCCCCCCCCCCCCCCCAAAAAAAATTTCAAGTGCCCTCCCCCCCGGAGAAAAAGTCTGGAAGAAACACTGCTTATGTTGATGTTCGATTGTATCTCTCCAACCACTCTGGGTCGTTTTAAGTATACCAAAAGATCTTGTTTCCTTTGCACTCCCAAGAACAATTTGATTTCAAATTTCTATTCAAAAACACGATTCACAACAATTCGTTTGACAGCCAGCGTACTGTAGTGTAGAAGATCAGAACCTCGTGATCTATATTGTCTTTGTTCAGTTTTTTAAAGGTTCCAGATTTAATATAATGTACGACTTTTACTAGAAATGGAGTCTTGATGGAGAGGGCATACTGGTGAATCATGCAGTGGTTAGGGAGCTTTATCTTTTATGTTTTCAGAAAGTCCAATTTTGACCTAAACATAGTGCACCATCCGTACAAACCCGCACAGCCGTTTTTAACCCATTTTAGTCATCAAATTTAAAAAAAAAAAAAACGTATTTATTTTCTCCACGCTATCTTCACAAAATAGCAACTCTTCTTTGCTATCATCTGAACACGAAGTCACGTCTGTCGATTTATCAAATTGAAAAGCAAACAATGGTGAACGCTTGATTTCATTAAAAATTTGTTGTTTAACATCTACGGACATGTCTGCTATAAGCTGCTGAATAGTATTATTAGACAGAGATATTTGTTGCATCTTTACTGCACTGGAATCCCCAAGAGTTAATTTAACCATCTTCAACATGCAGAGGTTGATGAGATTTTCTCCTACTGTGTTTTTTTTTTTTTGTTTGGCACTTTCTATCGGGACTTCATTTGATGCTTGCACTAATGCTGTGTTTCCTTGGTGAAAACTTCCTGTTCGATCAAGTCTCTGGCGTTTGCAACTATCTTCATGCCGACGAAAGAACTCCATATCTTTTTTGGTGTGTTCAGAATAACTTGTCTCAAATGACGTTTTAGTTTTGAAGATTTCATAAACTCGTGACTGAGAACAACTTTATATAGTACTCTTTGCTTCTTCTCTATTCCATTTCCAGTGATGTTAGTAAAGCCGAATTTTAGATATTCTTCTAAATATTTATGTTTTGTTTCTCATTAATAAGGTTTAATATACTAGTTGGCGACCCCCCAGAAAGCCCTTCGCGACCCCCAGGGGGGTCGCGACCCCCAGGTTGGGAACCCGTGGTCTAGAGGGTAGACAAACGTCTAACGGTGGGCGTGGTCTAGAGGGTGAACTGTCTACAGGAGGGCGTGGTCTAGAGGGTGAACTAAGTCTAAAGGTGGGCGTGGTCTAGAGGGTGGACAAAAGTCTAACGGTGAGCGTGGTCTAGAGGGTGAACAAAAGTCTAAAGGTGGGCGTGGTCTAGAGGGTAAACTGTTTAAAGGTGGGCATGATCAAAAGCGTGAACTGTCTAAATGTTCGCGGTAGAAGTATGTCTAAGGTGGGCGTGGTCTTGATTTTGGATTAAATCTTCATGTGGGCGTGGTCTAAAAGTCGGATAAAGTCTTAAAGTGGATGTGATCTAGAGGATAAAGTAAGTGAAGATGGAAGTAAAGATGGGCGTGGTCTAGTGGTTTTAAGTTTTGACCCCGACTGGGGTTCTTTAGATTGACACCTGGCTTACTTGAGAAACGGCAAACTCGGCTAGCAACTCTTCTTTCGCTCTTACATGCAGAAACACATCAACTCTACTTCACATGCGAAGGGGAATTTCATTTATTCGTTGGATGGTCTCGTATAATCGGGAAAACAGATTCAAACATTAGCCAAATATTCGTGACGTGGTTCTATAAAAAAGCGAACAAAGGATTTTTAAACCGCTTATACACCCCAGTGATAGTGAATTTTCCCCATCTGATTCTTCAAATGGAACGGGAATTCCCATTTGTGTGTTTATAAATAGAAAACGGAAACGATTGTCAACTCAGCACATCTTGGCCACACGTGGTGGTGGTGGGGGGGGGGGGGGGGGGGGGTCAAAAATTCGGCCTTTGATAAACGATGAGGACAATTAATTTTTACAATCAGAACCAGACGTTGCTCATTAAGACCGTGATTTTTAATTGGAGTGACAAGCATTAATTACAGTTGGGACACTTACGGGGGTGGGGGAAATGTTGGCTGAGTATCTTCTATATATATAATTCTCCTCTTCGAGCCGTTAGAAAACAAGCTGCAAACGCTCTCCCTACCTCCCCACCCCTACATGGTTTTAGTGAGCTGTGTTCACTCTAAATGTTTACAAGCAGAGCCAACGATTTTAAACGTAGGGGGGGGGGGGAGAGAAAGGAAGAGGGGGGGGGGTGGGTTATGGTCCTTAACGAGCTACTTATAGTGTTTTAAAGAAATATTTTCAGTGTCAGCGTTGGTACTGTCGAATTCACAAATTATGAATTATTGAAAATTAGAAACAACTAAATAGCGGAGTATGTTATGCCGCAGGCCGGCTCGTGGTAAATATTTGGGGTGTTCGTCATTTATATGGGAAACTGCTGTTCTGTCATGGTTGTCTGGCCGGTGAATCGTCTGGCCACGGCCTGCGGGCCGTATGCGGCCCAAATATATTTCTAAGATTTTAACGATCTCATTTTCAACATCAACAAGAAGAAAAAAAAATCGAGTTAATATTTTTAAAAGACAGTAAACAGAAGGAAACAAAACAAGAAAAAACATTTTTTTGTTTACATTTACTTTCATTGTTGTAGAGAATTTTGACAAGTCACAACATAGGCCACAGTGTCGGACAGCGGGAGTTACATTCTTTACAACACAGCAAATATTTTAATCATTGTATGTGTTGCATCTTAGTTATGTATATTTTTCAAAGGTACGTACATAGCAGTAATAATACCTAACACAAACAGAGGAAGGCATGGTTTACCTAAATTTGCCTATAAAATCATCGTAGACACCAAAATAACGACCAAAATTGATCTCACACCTTTCCTCTAACCCCCCCCCCCCCCCCACCCCACCCCACCCCTACCAAGAAACGAGGATCTACACTTAAAAATGAATAATTTCAAAACTGGCCTTAAAAAGTTCTGTTTACTTCACAAGTGTATTTCTTTTATAGTTAAAACCCTATCCCCCATCAACCCTCACCCTCAATACATGCCACCCCCCCCCCCTCCACCCCCACGATCCCTAGAGCTAAAAAACCCCAGAACGGAAGTCTGAACTTCAACAATGCTTTCTCTTACACCACCACAGCATAGAGTCCACGACTGAGTTTATCAAGTGCATCAGATCGGCCATTTTGTAGGCACATGACACGGCCTGCACCGAGTCACCCCCTGTCGTCAGGCCTAGGGGAAGTAATAGCTTATATTGTCGTCGTTAAATTCGATGTACAATTAAGCTGGTCAGGGGAAGTGACTCGTAGCGGTATGACATCACCAGTTAAGGGGCATCTGAGGACGATGGGATGAGGTGTAATGATATGGGTTAGTAGGTGGGGGGAGGGCCAATAAGGTGGGGAGGGGAGGTAAAGAAGCAGACGCCACCTTTTTTGGGTCTAATAATATATTTTATTATGGTGCGAAATATAGTGTTTAATTAGGGAACGTGCGTCTATTACTCAACACAAGAAGATGAAGGGATGATTCATTACTTTGTTGTATGGTGTCGTGCACATATTTATACAACACATGGGGTAGGGGAGAGTTATCGTTTTGTTATATTGTGTAATATGACCGGGGTAGTTAAACGGTCCACTCTATAGAACAGTTGGATGGGGGTGGATGCTGCTCACACAAGTATACAAAGGTTTTTTTTTTAAAAATAATTCAATAAAATGTTTTGCAGCTTTTTCTTTATCAAGCGATTTTTTTTACTACAATCATTTGGGGGATTCTGGGGGAATTCAAATGTTGTTAGCACTAATCTGTAAATTGTGTGCGTGTGTGTTTCGAGTGAGATGTTTGGTGGGGGAGGGGAGGTGGTGGTTGCAAGAATTGTTGTACAACTTGAAGATGGGGGACAAGGGAGGTGTTACATATTGTATATCGGGTAGGTAGGTCCCATGTGTGTAAAACTAAAGCCCAAGTTTTGTGATATACCATTTGTCCACTAGACCTACCAATGGAATATCTGTCCATGGAATATTTGTCCATGGAATATCTGTCAATGGAATATCTGTCCATGGAATATTTGTCCATGGAATATTTGTCCATGGAATATTTGTCCATGGAATATCTGTCAATGGAATATTTGTCAATGGAATATTTGTCCGTGGAATATTTGTCCATGGAATATTTGTCCGTGGAATATTTGTCCATGGAATATTTGTCAATGGAATATTTGTCCGTGGAATATTTGTTCATGGAATAATTTTCCATGGAATATTTGTCCACGGAATATTTGTCCACGGAATATTTGTCCACGGAATATTTGTCCGTGGAATATTTGTCCGTGGAATATTTGTCCGTGGAATATTTGTCAATGGAATATTTGTCAATGGAATATTTGTCAATGGAATATTTGTCAATGGAATATTTGTCTGTGGAATATTTGTCCATGGAATATTTGTCCACGGAATATTTGTCCACGGAATATTTGTCCATGGAATATTTGTCCATGGAATATTTGTCCGTGGAATATTTGTCCGTGGAATATTTGTCAATGGAATATTTGTCAATGGAATATTTGTCCGTGGAATATTTGTCCACGGAATATTTGTCCATGGAATATTTGTCCGTGGAATATTTGTCCGTGGAATATTTGTCAATGGAATATTTGTCAATGGAATATTTGTCCGTGGAATATTTGTCCATGGAATATTTGTCCACGGAATATTTGTCCACGGAATATTTGTCCACGGAATATTTGTCCGTGGAATATTTGTCCATGGAATATTTGTCCGTGGAATATTTGTCCGTGGAATATTTGTCAATGGAATATTTGTCCGTGGAATATTTGTCCGTGGAATATTTGTCAATGGAATATTTGTCCGTGGAATATTTGTCAATGGAATATTTGTCAATGGAATATTTGTCCGTGGAATATTTGTCCGTGGAATATTTGTCAATGGAATATTTGTCCGTGGAATATTTGTCAATGGAATATTTGTCCGTGGAATATTTGTCCATGGAATATTTGTCCACGGAATATTTGTCCACGGAATATTTGTCCACGGAATATTTGTCCATGGAATATTTGTCCACGGAATATTTGTCCACGGAATATTTGTCCATGGAATAATTTTCCATGGACATTTGTCCGCTGTCACTGTTCCTGTAGCCGGACATTTTGTGTAAAGTAAAAACTTTTGTCCTGTTTTTGCTGACTGCAGTCCAAAATAGTGTCACTGTTTTTCGTGTGTGGTTAGTTGTCCACACTATTGTGTGCTGATGAAGACATTTGGTCGAAACGTTCATTGTACTAGTCCTTTATGTGAGTGATTACTAAATATTTTTTTACGGAGAGAATTTTTTTGCTCATTCTTAGATGTCAGTGCTAATGTACACAATGGGAGTCTGTGACTCTAATGGGTTGTTACACAATGGGAGTCTGTGACTCTAATGGGTTGTTACACTATGGGAGTCTGTGACTCTAATGGGTTGTTACACAATGGGAGTCTGTGACTCTAATGGGTTGTTACACAATGGGAGTCTGTGACTCTAATGGGTTGTTACACTATGGGAGTCTGTGACTCTAATGGGTTGTTACACAATGGGAGTCTGTGACTCTAATGGGTTGTTACACTATGGGAGTCTGTGACTCTAATGGGTTGTTACACTATGGGAGTCTGTGACTCTAATGGGTTGTTACACAATGGGAGTCTGTGACTCTAATGGGTTGTTACACTATGGGAGTCTGTGACTCTAATGGGTTGTTACACAATGGGAGTCTGTGACTCTAATGGGTTGTTACACAATGGGAGTCTGTGACTCTAATGGGTTGTTACACTATGGGAGTCTGTGACTCTAATGGGCTGTTACACTATGGGAGTCTGTGACTCTAATGGGTTGTTACACTATGGGAGTCTGTGACTCTAATGGGTTGTTACACTATGGGAGTCTGTGACTCTAATGGGTTGTTACACTATGGGAGTCTGTGACTCTAATGGGTTGTTACACAATGGGAGTCTGTAACTCTAATGGGTTGTTACACTATGGGAGTCTGTGACTCTAATGGGTTGTTACACTATGGGAGTCTGTGACTCTAATGGGCTGTTACACTATGGGAGTCTGTGACTCTAATGGGTTGTTACACTATGGGAGTCTGTAACTCTAATGGGTTGTTACACTATGGGAGTCTGTGACTCTAATGGGTTGTTACACAATGGGAGTCTGTGACTCTAATGGGTTGTTACACTATGGGAGTCTGTGACTCTAATGGGTTGTTACACTATGGGAGTCTGTGACTCTAATGGGTTGTTACACTATGGGAGTCTGTGACTCTAATGGGTTGTTACACAATGGGAGTCTGTGACTCTAATGGGTTGTTACACTATGGGAGTCTGTGACTCTAATGGGTTGTTACACTATGGGAGTCTGTGACTCTAATGGGTTGTTACACTATGGGAGTCTGTGACTCTAATGGGTTGTTACACTATGGGAGTCTGTGACTCTAATGGGTTGTTACACTATGGGAGTCTGTGACTCTAATGGGCTGTTACACTATGGGAGTCTGTGACTCTAATGGGTTGTTACACTATGGGAGTCTGTGACTCTAATGGGTTGTTACACTATGGGAGTCTGTGACTCTAATGGGTTGTTACACTATGGGAGTCTGTGACTCTAATGGGCTGTTACACTATGGGAGTCTGTGACTCTAATGGGTTGTTACACTATGGGAGTCTGTGACTCTAATGGGTTGTTACACTATGGGAGTCTGTGACTCTAATGGGCTGTTACACTATGGGAGTCTGTGACTCTAATGGGTTGTTACACTATGGGAGTCTGTGACTCTAATGGGTTGTTACACTATGGGAGTCTGTGACTCTAATGGGCTGTTACACTATGGGAGTCTGTGACTCTAATGGGTTGTTACACTATGGGAGTCTGTGACTCTAATGGGTTGTTACACTATGGGAGTCTGTGACTCTAATGGGTTGTTACACTATGGGAGTCTGTGACTCTAATGGGTTGTTACACTATGGGAGTCTGTGACTCTAATGGGTTGTTACACTATGGGAGTCTGTGACTCTAATGGGTTGTTACACTATGGGAGTCTGTGACTCTAATGGGTTGTTACACTATGGGAGTCTGTGACTCTAATGGGTTGTTACACTATGGGAGTCTGTGACTCTAATGGGTTGTTACACTATGGGAGTCTGTGACTCTAATGGGTTGTTACACTATGGGAGTCTGTGACTCTAATGGGTTGTTACACTATGGGAGTCTGTGACTCTAATGGGTTGTTACACTATGGGAGTCTGTGACTCTAATGGGTTGTTACACTATGGGAGTCTGTGACTCTAATGGGCTGTTACACTATGGGAGTCTGTGACTCTAATGGGTTGTTACACTATGGGAGTCTGTGACTCTAATGGGTTGTTACACTATGGGAGTCTGTGACTCTAATGGGTTGTTACACAATGGGAGTCTGTGACTCTAATGGGTTGTTACACTATGGGAGTCTGTGACTCTAATGGGTTGTTACACCATGGGAGTCTGTGACTCTAATGGGTTGTTACACTATGGGAGTCTGTGACTCTAATGGGCTGTTACACTATGGGAGTCTGTAACTCTAATGGGTTGTTACACTATGGGAGTCTGTGACTCTAATGGGTTGTTACACCATGGGAGTCTGTGACTCTAATGGGTTGTTACACTATGGGAGTCTGTGACTCTAATGGGCTGTTACACTATGGGAGTCTGTAACTCTAATGGGTTGTTACAATATGGGAGTCTGTGACTCTAATGGGTTGTTACACTATGGGAGTCTGTGACTCTAATGGGCTGTTACACTATGGGAGTCTGTGACTCTAATGGGCTGTTACACTATGGGAGTCTGTGACTCTAATGGGTTGTTACACTATGGGAGTCTGTGACTCTAATGGGTTGTTACACTATGGGAGTCTGTGACTCTAATGGGTTGTTACACTATGGGAGTCTGTGACTCTAATGGGTTGTTACACTATGGGAGGGGAGTTTGAAATAGTAACGTCTTTTTGAACTAATTGCTGTCTAATGTAGTGTTTCCAACAGACATTTTCTCCGGGGTGAGGGGTGAGTTGTGGCACTTGAAACTTCAGGGGAGGGAAGGGGTTCCAAAGAGAAGCATAAAAGAAACTTGAGTCTGACGGCGTTGCAAAGAGGGTAGTAATTTAATTGACTGCTGTTGACGTTTTGATTCGCAGACGTTACGTAATCAGAGTTTCTACCAGCCATCTCTTGGGGGGGGGGGGGGCAAAGTCTACCGCCCCCCCCCCCCCCCCTCCCGAACAAAATGGAATTTATATAGAAAATATATACTTTTAACAGTGTCCACCCCCCCCCCCCCCTCCCCGAAGAAAAAGTCTGGAAGAAACACTGACGTAATGCTACCTACACATGGACTGTGTCATTGAAATCGTAAGTCGCAGTGAGGCTAATGTTTGTGTTCTGATGAAGACCTGGGGTCGAAACGTCAGTTTTTGCTTGTACTATTTTCCTCCTCTCTTCCTCCCTACCCCAGTAAGTTAAATAATGTGAAGTAAATATGCAGCTTTCTACAACATTGACACACATCAACTGATGCAGGTTCAATACGATATTTACAACAAAGCATACAATTTATGAAACGCATTAGAAAAAAAAATTAGTCGTTCCGTTCCCCTCCCCCCTCTTCCCCCATAACGTTGTTATGAAACCACAACTGCACTTAACTTGTTTTTATAAAGTGGAAATTGCCGCACCATAATTTTTCCGCGAGGTAGACGAGGCTATTTTCGTCCGCCTAAATGTAAGCCAGCCCTCTCCTTTCATCATTAGCGCCCCACCCCCCACTTTCCCCCAACCCCCACTTCCTCCCATCCCCGAGTTTACCGAGATCCATCAGCCAATCAGAAGATCGGGTTTTTGTGCATACTTATGAGTTGTAGGCCTAGTCATCGTACGTTGATGTGTACGACGGTGTGTTATGTGTTCAAAACTAGGTCAAGCTTCCGCCATATTTTCCCTTCCAACTTGTTTACAAACAGATGGTGCACTACCGCTTTACGCACAGTGTCGCAGTATTGATGGTTGAGAAAGAGGAGGGCGAAAGGCTAGGAATTACCCACACAGTTTGGAAATGTTTAGAAAGCTAAAAGTTTGATTGCAAATGGCCGCCGAGGTCGACGACCCCATCGCGTCGCGTACACTTACGTGTGACCTACGTTCGGGTCAGGGTAACCCGTTAGTTTGACCTTCTGGATTCATGGCGTTTGTGATTACGAGAGGGGGGGGGGGGGCAGACGTGATTCAGAACCTGAATAATAATAAGATCTCACCGACTTTCTGTGTGTACATTCTGGCCTGCATCTCAACGGTACACAGTGCTCAATGTGTAACACGCCTCACCATAACATTGTAGCAGACCTTAGCTTAACATTGTAGCACACCTCACCATAACATTGTAGCAGACCTTAGCTTAACATTGTAGCACACCTCACCATCACATTGTAGCACACCTCACCATAACATTGTAGCACATCTCACTATTGTAGCACACCTCACCATAACAACGTAGCACACCTCACCATAACATTGTAGCACACCTCACCATAACAATGTAGCACACCACACCATTATAGCACACCTCGCCATTGTAGCACACCTCACAATTGTAGCACACCTCACCATAACATTGTAGCACACCTCACCATTGTAGCACACTTCACTATTGTAGCACACCTCACTATTGTAGCACACCTCACAATTGTAGCACACATCACCATAACAACGTAGCAAACCTCACCAAACCCTACTATAACACTTTGTTGTTTTCTAGCTCCATTATGTCCAAGAAACATTCCGTTAGGCTCCAGTTCATTAAATTGTTTAGCTTCTAGAATCATCATGACGTCATCATAACTTTTTTTAGGTCTCTAACTCCATATTGACATCGCCTCGTGTAGACCTCTAGTTTGACACGGAGTTGTCCATTACATTTTGTTAGTGAGCGAATTATTGGTAACCTTATACGACTTAAACTGCAGAAACTTAACCTGCTTTGTGAAAATGGTCTCAATGGACATCAAAGTGTTGACGAAATTAATCCACCATTATTGGCTACAATATTAAAAATCGTGTTTTTTTGTCAATTTCGCCTGTATGGCGGTCGTAAAAATAATAATTAAAACTTAAAACTTTAATATTTGAAGAATCAGTGATATAAAATTTGCGAATGTAGAGAACTTGATAATAATGTTTGTGTGTTTAAGGCTACATTTCTATTTATTTTCAATTTCATCAAGCCTAAATTACAACCTGCAGTTTCACTTTCGTAACACAAGCTTTAACTTGCTGTACAGGAACTCCGTGATCGATCTTCTGAAAACCCCACTTTCTAGAAATTTAAACTCAAAACTTTGCCGAATTTTTTAAAAAATATTTTTTTTTTTTAAACCACATGACCTAGTTATGCCATGTGTTTATTTAAATTTTTCTGTGACGAAATGAATGCAACCTATTTGTTTTTGGCTTTAATAAAATGTGTTTAGTTACAGAAAATACTAAAAACATCAAATACATGCAATCTTTATTGAAGTCCGTCAAAAACCTGTGTCAAATATTGGCGACACGTTAATCTAACAGTAACATAGCGATGTAAACAGAAAGTGATATTTCATTAACAACGCCTGCTTCCATCCCCTCTACACAACTAACATAGCGACAGTTTGACATAATTAATATTGGCGACATTTTAGCCTAAATATCGGCGACATTTTGTTTTGACGTCATTGTTTATACCGGCTACTGCGGCGGTGGTGGAAGCGTGGGGGTGAGAAGGGGGAGGGGGAAATTCCGTTATAATTCCGCACCTTCCTTCCTCATCCCCCCCCCCTCCCCACCCCACCCATCGTTAAGAAGCTGAAGATAAGGAAAACATTAAAATACCTCAGGTTAATTTATACTTTCAAAGGAGGAGTGCAGAATAAAAAGCGCGGTTTTACAGCACATATTTTTAGATACGGATACCCACTTTAGCGACTGACTCAGAAATTTTCCCAGTCTAAATTTGGAAAAATCCAAAAATGATATCGGGAATTTATTTTATTTTGGGTGGTGATGCAACATATCAGAGGCGTAGCGACCCATCCCGGCGCCCGGGGACAAACTTTCAAATTGACGCCCCCCTCGGGATCAACCTTTCAATTTTTGATTTGCACCCCGCTCAAACTTTCGATTTGCACCCCCCCCCCCCCCGAACTTTCGATTTGCACACCCACCCTTATATATTTTTTATATTTATAAAGCAAAAATGCAGCTAAAATGATATTTTAATTTGTTTTTCCAACCCACTTTGGCGCCCCCTAAGATCGGCGCCCGGGGACATATGTACCCCCCTGCCCCCCCCCCCCTTCGCTACGCCTCTGCAACATATACAGCAACTGGTCCCTCTGGGCGTTTGGTAAAAGCAAATAAAAAAAAAAAGATAGAAAAGCTTTGTTTTACATACCATCTTCAGTAAATACAGAAGATTGAGTCACATTCAACGAATACTTCATAGTTCCCCCCCCCCCGCTTTTCTGATGTGATGCAACTCAATACCTCATGATGACAGTTACTTAGAAAAAAAAAGTATACTTTGAATTTCACACATAAATTTTCTTTGAATAATCTTATCGTTTGTACTGATAGACCCTGAAACATTCTTTCGCAGTCGACGTTCGTAGCCCGGGTTGTTCGGACCGTGGGGCGTCAAACTATATTAATTCTACCCTGACTTTGTTCTTGCAACAAATTGTAAAATGTTGTTGTTGATGTTCTCGCCCAACCTCCCCTCCCATTATTAGCCTTAATTTCTCCGTGATACGTCAGTATATAAAGGACTCAAAGTCTATATTACTGTTGAAATGGGAAACCCCAGACAAAACATTGTCTTGAAATAAGAATCGACACTCATGGCAACTTTAATTTTGGCGCGCGCGCGCACACACACACACGTATAAATATATATGTTACGGTCAAAGCCCGAAGTCGGCCAATGCTAGGATTGGCCGGCCAATCCGCGCATTGGCCAATATCGCCTCCCATAGGTCGGTCAAAGTCCGAAACTTTGCTTCATTTCGGCCTTTGGCCGGCCAATCCGCAGACTGGCCATTGTGGACCGGCCAAAGTCTGAAATAGCTCTTGATTTCGGCCTTTGGCCGGCCAGTCCCGGCCAGTCCGCGGACTGGCCATGGTGGACCGGCCAAAGTCTTAATTAGAAGATCATGAGCAGATTTTTGTTTTTTTTTTAATGCCGGTAGGATCATGAAATTAAGTCTTTATTGATTATTAATTAAAGTAAATGACAGAAACATTCAAATTTTTTATTGTACTATAGTCTCAATCAATCATTATTATCATTTGTTACAACAAGTTGAACTTTTATGGCATTTAGAATTACATAGCAGCTTGTTATTTTTACACTTGCAGCGATTTGTTGTGCACTTGGTTGTGCAATTGCAGCGAGTGTAGCCTTGGCCCCCAGTCAATGATTGTGAAGATGCGATGGTTCGTAGTGATTTTTCCTCAGTGCCAACTGACGACAATAAGAGCAGTTTTTCGTGAAGAATTGAAAACTCACTTCTAGTATACAGTTGTTTTAGAACACCATGTTCCGTTCCTAATTTGTAGAAACCGCCCTCGACGCTCATGACAACTGCAATCACGCTTCGGGGATCACCGCGACCTCTGTCAATATCTGGAACACGGATGCGTACATTGTCACCCACTTCACCATCTTTAAATTTTGTATTTGATGTTTTAAGCATCTTAGCACCTTGATTTTGCAAGCCAGTATGAGCTGCTGACCTGTGTTCCATGATGTCTTGTTGATTGTCTCACCTCGTCATCATAGAGGAGGCTGTCACATACAGTTGTAGCCCATATATGGAAATCAACATGGATTTACATTATTTTCTTTTGACAGCCATTTGCTATGTCTGTCTCATGGTCTGACGGCCCTTTTGATCCATGTCGCCTTGCATATAGAATGCTATACAAACAAGAGCTAAAAATACGTTACTCACAATGAAACCGCACCCAGAATAATGAAAACGCGATCACAACTTAGTCTAGATACAACATTGGCCAGGACATCCCGGCCAATGCGCGCATTGGCCGGCCAATGTACAAAATACGCTGTCAAGTTTAAGCATTTCGGACTTTGGCCAGTACGTCCCGGCCAGTGCGCGCATTGGCCGGCCAATGTACGAAATACGATTTTAGTTCTAAGTTCTTCGGGCTTTGGCCAAGAGAGCCGGCCAATCCGCGCATTGGCTGGCCAATCCGGGGTTTGGCCGCACTTCGGGCTTTGACCGTAACATATATAAAATAAAATACAATATATATATATATATATATATATATATATATATATATATATATATATATATATATATATATATATATAAAATCATTACACCTGGGTCATTTTCTGGACAAGGCGTTTTGACTCATGTGAGCAGCTTAAAGCAAGGCGCTCACCAACTGATCCTATTAGTATGACAGGTTCCATCCACCGGGGCAGGGATGGGGAGGGGGGGGGGGGTCACACTGGACAGTGGGATTATTTGAAGCCGTTAATATGACGGAGCTCGTCATCCCCCTACCGCCCCCACCCCACCCTTATGGACATCTACAAAAAATGGATCTGTAAGAGACTATCATTTAGAGATTTTCGTGCGAGCACGTAAGTCGTTTGGAACTGGCTTCATCACAACTGGCTAGTGGAGATACACAGACAGACGCATGAACAGACAAACCCATGATTAGGCAGACACATTAACAGACAGACCCATGAACAGGCACAAATTGTCTTCATAATGTAACCTCACTACAGCTAGATGCTGGTATGACTAAAAATAAAAGCTTAGTCGCTCAAAGATGAAAATTGAACATGTCTTATGCTATGTTATAGAACTTAAACCTATTAAAGAATTCCCTATAAAATGGAATATAGCTTCCATAAGAGAGCGCCCAGGCTTTTATTTTTAGTCATACCAGTATAAATTATGTAAGAGATCTCATGAGCAACCAAGTATTTTATTAAATAAACCAAATGAGGTTTAAAATTAAAGAATTTCATGCTTTATTTAATTCAAGCATTTTTATTTTCTGCCTTCATTTACAGTTACTTCCCTTAACCTATTTGAACTAAAGCTTGTCGAGACTATTCGGCTACACCCACACGGTTTGAAATCAAATCAGTTTCGCCCGGAGCTGTGGTTGGTTGTGACTTTAATTAAAACGCTATGTCACCCCGTTCTTTACTTACATATCTATCCTTCTGCTTACATGTCTGGTGTATTTGATTCTCGGCGGTACACACATTCTTTTCTTTACATTTGTAAATTACAAGAACTACAAACATGTTGCAAGCATTCCAATACAAGTCCACAACATTTATAGACATTTTATAGCAACATTTCATACATTAAATTAAAATTTTATACTTCCAACACAATAAAACACCATTTATACCATAACATTAAAACTAGGCCTACACATTAAAAAAAACATTTCATAAAACAACACATTAAAATAACATTTATACATATACACTAAAACATTTAACACATACGATAATTTCCACAAAATACTTAAACACCTCAGCCAACCAGAAACGAACGCAAACACCAAAACATGTTTTGAGTTTTTTATTGAGACGAGTTTGTGTAAGATGAGTACTCTATCACATCAAAGATGACCAAGTATTTTTCTTTTCTGGACCACTTATTCGATTGGTCACTCCTAATCACGTGGGCAGTTTACCACGGACCAATCATCTCTTCCAGCATTAGCCCATTGCCCTTGGACCACACAACTAGACATTGGTACTAAAAGTGGGCCATGCAATACATCGTTTGCTTGAAGTTGTAAAGCGTTTATTAAAAATATATGAGACACAAAACTTCAGTTGTAAATACAAACTTCCTTTCACTCCATGTTGAAACCAGTTGACCTTTTAACCTATGACATAATATTGACCTTTTAACCTATGACCTAATATTGACTATGATGGTGAACATTGCTGAGTTGCGTTTCGCAACCAAAAAGTTGTAACATTTCGAGAGGGTGTGTTGTTTTTTTTTCTTCTTTCTTAGAATCAAGCCCCTTGATTAACTTGCCCGTTTCAAACCAATTAGCAGTTCCAAATGATTCAAAGCACTGCGACCAACGTGAGATGGCACCAGACAGTCTATGACAGGGAGGGGAGGGAACGCCCCCACCCACCCTCCTCCTGCAGCTTGACCAAGGGGCTTAACTCTCTCCCGACCCGAGCTCCTTCAGACTATGCCGTCTCCTCTTCCTCTTCCTCCTCTGCTTCTCCTGCCTCCTCCGCCGTGGCGTCCTGATACTGCTGGTACTCTGAGACGAGGTCGTTCATGTTCGACTCGGCTTCCGTGAATTCCATCTCATCCATGCCCTCCCCCGTGTACCAGTGGAGGAAAGCTTTTCTCCTGAACATGGCTGTTGGGGTGACACCAAAGCAAAAAGTTAACTCATGCATAGGCTTAAGGAATATACATACAATTTCAAAACATCTTTGTGTGCAGCTGTTTTAAGTTAGTTCGGAGAGTAGGGACAAGAATAGATTCAACTTTAAAGGTCATGCACGGATTAAACGTGCCATACCAACTTCATCGTAATTTTTTTTTAAAATAAGTTCTGTAGATGGCATGCCGAGTGGTAGAGCACATTGCTGGTTAACCGGAAGTTCTCGAGTTCAAATCCGTATGAATCCAATTAATCCACCCAGTTTTAAAGCGTAACTGGCTCTGGTAGTCTTGATGACTCACATTTAAAGTGTACGTGACTCTTGGAGTCGCGTTCACGCAAAGTGTACTTAACTCTGTGAGTCGCGCTGACTCAATTTAATGTGTACCTGACTCTGGGAGACCTGCTGACTCACAATCCTTCAAACAAAAACTCTACTTCAGGTACTTTGTTGTCTATAAACTCATCGTTCTCTGGTGTAGTTCAAGATTTATAAATCCATCTATCACAAGTCTTAACCTACCGTTCTTATCACCGTGCACCTGAAGCTCTGCCATTATAGGATGTAAACTGCACCCAACGCCCTACGTCATCGGACCTTTTGTTAAAGGAACCTGCACGCATCGCCCTGTACCGACCCACCTGTACCCCGCGACCCCTGACCCACCTGTACCCCGTGACCCACCTGTGAATTGCTCAGCGACCCGCTTGAAAAGCTCCTGTATGGCCGTTGTGTTGCCGATGAAGGTCGATGCCAACTTGAGACCCCGTGGTGGAATATCACAGACGGCAGTTTTCACGTTGCTAGGGATCCACTCCACAAAGTAGGACGAGTTTTTGTTCTGTACGTTCAACATCTGTTCGTCCACCTCTGTAACATGTAGGTTGCATTATGGTGGTTGTATAATATGGGGCATATGGTCAAAGATATTGGTACATGACTCGCGTTTGGAAAAGTAAAGGCGGTTGCATCTAAGAGGTCATTGAAATATGTGAATTCTACTTCATCTCCCCAATGGACCGTCATGTTAGAAAGTGTAATAGCTATCACTGGACAGATATATTAGCTAAACATATAAAGGCATGAAGCCGCTTGAAAAGTTATGATAAGTTATTAATTTAAAACAAAATGATTGCTTTAAAATAACTTAATAAATATTACATTTTCTCTATTCTTTTACTAATTGCAGATTTTTTTTTAAATTATGAGATGATCGTTTTTATTCTGCCAAGCTGTAACAGTTATTGAGCTACTAGCTTTAAGTCTGAGACTGGACAAATGACTGGTGGATTCGCTGAGTAGGTGATATTCAGTTGATGTCGTAAGACCAACGTTTCTGTGGTGGTGACAGTATAGTGACCATGGTAAATGTGTTCGTTGGTCGCGCTACGTCACGGTAGCTACGGCTGGTAGCCAGCTACAGCCATGGTTCGTTATCACGTTAGGTCATTTGGTCATGGTAGGTCACAGCGGCTTTGTGGTCAAGCTAAAGACACGCTCATCACACGGTTACGTGGTGGGGGAGGGGTGGTGGTAGTGAGGGGAGGGTCATGTGAATCTTAAGCGGCTAGGCAAAAACAGGCTGGAAGCAACCATAGCACCACGTGTTGTGACCAACTGGCCCCTGTGCCGTGAGGCGATGACGTCACAGAACCCACCTTTCATCGACATGCGACCACGGAATATGCAGGCCACTGTCAGGTAGCGACCGTGTCTGGGATCGCAGGCTGCCATCATATTCTTGGCATCGAACATCTGTTGGGTCAGTTCAGGGACTGTGATGGCACGATACTGCAAGGTAACAAGGCTTGGTGAGTATCGATACCTAATAATATGGATCGATACGCACTATATATAAAAAAAAATTATTTGAATGTCGATACCAACTGTAACTATAGCGCTTTTATAAGTGGTGAGACCAACTATATCTATATCACTTTTATAAGTATAAATACCAACTATATCTGTAGAGCTAATATAAGTATAGACACCAACTATATTTGTAGAGCTGATATAAGTATAGATACCAACTATATCTGTAGAGCTGATATAAGTATAGATACCAACTATATCTGTACAACTGATATAAATATAGATCAGTGGCGTAGCGAGGTCGGGTGTCACCCGGTGCGGCACTTAATGGTGTCACCCCCTCCCCCAGAGGCGTAGCGACCCTTCCCGGGGACAAATTTCAAATTTTCGATTTGCACCCCCCCCCCCCCTTCAAATTTTCGATTTGCACCCCCTCAAACTTTTGATTTGCACCTCCCCCCTCAAATTTTCGATTTGCACCCCCCGCCCTCGAACTTTCGATTTGCAACCCCCACTCAAGTTTTTCTCTACATATTTTGCTATTTTTTGCCTTGGTGTCACCCCCCTAAATGGTGTCACCCGGTGCGGTCCGCCCCCCTCGCTACGCCCCTGATATAGATACCAACAATATCTGTAGAGCTGATATAAATATAGATACCAACTGTGTCATTTGAGCTGATATAAGTATAGCTAACTACACCAGTAGAGCTGATACAAGTATAGGTAACAACTATATCTGTAGATCTAAGTATCGAGATCAACTAGCTTTATAGCGTTGATATAGCATAAACATAGCTGTCTCGCTTAGAATAATATTCAGTCGAAACGGTAAATATATAACACTATTCAGTGCGAAGTTTGGCTAATATGCATTTGAGAAATGTCTGGCAACACTAGACAAAAGTCTGGCACCACTAGGCAAATGTCAGGCACCATTAGGCAAAAGTCCGACACCACTAGGCAAAAGTCTGACACCACTAGGCAAAAGTCTGGCTCCACTAGGCAAAAGTCTGGCACCACTAGGCAAAAGTCTGGCACCACTAGGCAAAAGTCTGGCACCACTAGGCAAAAGTCTGGCACCATTAGGCAAAAGTCTGGCACCATTAGGCAAAAGTCTGGCACCATTAGGCAAAAGTCTGGCACCATTAGGCAAAAGTCTGGCACCATTAGGCAAAAGTCTGACACCACTAGGCAAAAGTCTGACACCACTAGGCAAAAGTCTGACACCACTAGGCAAAAGTCTGGCACCACTAGGCAAAAGTCTGGCTCCACTAGGCAAAAGTCTGGCACCACTAGACAAAAGTCTGGCACCACTAGGCAAATGTCAGGCACCATTAGGCAAAAGTCTGACACCACTAGGCAAAAGTCTGACACCACTAGGCAAAAGTCTGGCACCACTAGTCAAAAGTCCGGCTATACAAGTAGAAGCGCTGACCTGCTGTGAGCCACGAGAAGTGAGTGGGGCGAATCCTGGAATGAAGAAATGCAGGCGAGGGAAGGGCACCATGTTTACGCACAGTTTCCTCAGATCTGAGTTGAGCTGGCCGGGGAATCGCAGACAGGTAGTTGTGCCAGAAAGGGTTGCCGAGATCAGGTGGTTCAAATCCCCGTAGGTGGGCGTGGTCAACTTTAATGTTCGAAAGCAAATGTCGTAAAGAGCCTCGTTGTCAATCGTATACGTCATATCCGTATTTTCTACCAGCTGAAAGAAAAAAAGTTCAACTTATGAAATCTGTGAAAATCAACATTACGAATAGTATTATGAACAATAATATATTGCAAAAGCATGGACGTGTATTCCTACTAGACGAAATGAGACACTAAGGGTCGTTATCGCAAAATGTACCTGTAACGTCCATTGTCAAGACATACAATAAGCAACAGTTACGCGTGTTCACGCTAGCACTGGCGCCTGGATGGTGCTAGAAATGTGCCTGACGGACTGATGTACTGACAGATCACACATAGAACTGACGGACTGACACGCAACTAAATTGACAGACTGACACACGACTAAACTGATGGACTGTCATTTGACTAAACGGACGAATGTGCAAATGACTAAATAGACATACTGACACACGACTAAATTGACGGACTGACACGCGACTAAATTGACGGACTGACACACGACTAAATTGACGGACTGACACATGACACACGACTAAACTGACAGACTGACACATGACACACGACTAAACTGACAGACTGACACATGACATATGACTAAACTGACGGACTGACACACGACTAAACTGACAGACTGACACATGACTCACCTGATGGACTGACAAAGTTGCATTGTACGGCTCAACTACGACATCGGAAACTTTGGGTGACGGCACGATGGAGTATGTGCTCATGATACGGTCAGGGTATTCCTCGCGGACTTTGCTGATCACTAGAGTTCCCATACCTGGGGAGGGCAACATGCGAGTTAGGGTCGTGTGGAGAGGTCAGCAGGCGGGTCAAGGTCGTGTGGATAGGTCAACAGGAGGGTCAAGGTCGTGTGGAGAGGTCAGCATGAGGGCAAGGTCGTGTGGAAGGGTCAGCATGCGGGCTAGGTCGTGTGGAGAGGTCAACAGGAGGGTCAAGGTCGTGTGGAGAGGTCAGCATGAGGGGAGAGGTCGTGTGGGGAGGTCAACAGGAGGGCAAGGTCGTGTGGAGAGGTCAACAGGAGGGTCAAGGTCGTGTGGAGAGGTCAGCATGAGGGGAGAGGTCGTGTGGGGAGGTCAACAGGAGGGCAAGGTCGTGTGGAGGGGTCAACTTGTGGGCAAGGTCGTGTGGAGAGGTCAACAGGATTTCTTATGAGTTCTTACACCTTCGTCAAGAAGTCTTAAGAAGTCTTAAGAATCTGGGATCGTTGCAACAAGTACATTCTGCCTAATTCTGCCTTTATCCTAATCCTAGCTCGACCCCTATCGTTAATCCATATCAAACTTTAATCATATGCTTGAACCGATCAGCAATACAGAAACACCAAAACCTCGAACACACCTATCAAATAACCCCCTCCTCTTATTTTTAATTTTGTACTGTAACCATACTTTTACCCCACAGCTAACTCTATGCAGGTCACCTATTTGCGTGGTACTGGGTATAGCTAATTACTACTCTAACCTAGTTCAAGGCTTAAGTTCTATACCTAGGCCAAACCATTACAAGAATCTTAACTACTCATATCCCAATGCTAGCATCAAACACGATGATACTACGTTGCCATCCGGATGCTTTAGACACAGCTCGACTGATACCTTCTTCTTGACCTCGACTTGACCTCTACATGACCTCTACTTGACCTCTACATGACCTCGACTTGACCTCTACTAGACCATAAAATCACTCACCAGAGCCGGAGCCGCCGCCCAGAGACTGGGTCAGCTGGAAGCCTTGCAGACAGTCGCAGCTCTCAGCTTCCTTCCTGATGACGTCTAAGACAGAGTCACAAAGTTCCGCGCCTTCTGTGTAGTGGCCCTTGGCCCAGTTGTTTCCGGCTCCCGACTGGCCAAAGATGAAGTTGTCAGGGCGGTAGATCTGGGGACAAAGGGGGGGGGGGGGGGGGGGGGGGGGGGTCTTAGCATCACGTGACTTCATCAGGCAACAACAGGTCAATTATATAAAAAGAGCAGAGAATACTGCCGTGGGTGATGTGGTGAGGGTGTAGAGCGCACGACTGCAAACCTGAAAGTCTAGAGTTCGTAGGACGTTCCTAAGTCCATCCTGCTAAGGTGGGTGCAAGCCTCAGTTTAGAGAACGTAAAATGGGTTATATATAGTGCTGACCACACTATCCCTTTAAATGCCGAGGTCACAGGAACCGGATAATTATACTTCATCTGCTCCATGAACCAATATGTACCACATTACGTGCCTATATCGAGACATATGGTTTCTTCCTATATCGCTATAGTGTTTTAAGCCAAGACAACGGTCAGTGTGAGGGCTAGAGTTAGGGCTGGAATAAAAGATTAGCGATACCATCAAAGTAATATCCTTTAATACATCCTGCCTACATGTTGATACGTTTCAAGTAACGTACCAAGGCTTTGATTTGAGGGTTCTACTATGTCTGGGTAGGGATACGATCAAAGATGCAGGTCTAACTCGCTTAGTTATTGTTGGACACTGAGAAAGTAAAGGCGGCTACACCTTGTACTAACAGCACCAGTTTATTTATAGAATGTCAACACAAAATATAGATGAACTCTACTTTATCTGATATATTGATCGTCAGCCGGTCAATGAATGTAGTCTTTCGTTTCTTCCAATATATATTTTGTTTCTGTAAGGAGCGATGTTAAAGTCATTGCTATAATAAAGGATGGGGTCAGGTTGAAAGGTCAGGGTTGAGGCTAGTATCAGGACTATCGTTAAGAACAAACCTTGTTTAGGACCAGAGCAAAGTTGACTATACCAGCAAACTCTTAACCTAGATCCAGGTAAATCAACACGGACATAACACGCTAGACTCACCTGTCCAAATGGTCCAGACCGGACGCTGTCCATCGTCCCTGGTTCCAGATCGACCAAGACCGCCCGGGGAACATACTTGCCGCCCGTCGCCTCGTTGAAATAGACGTTGATTCGCTCCAGTTGCAGATCAGAGTCGCCATGATATGTGCCTGTTGGATCGATTCCGTGTTCGTCTGACAGAACTTCCCAGAATTTGGCACCAATCTAAAGGGCAACACACAGGTCATGCACTTTTTGTAGGAGGGTGAGCTGGGAGAGGGGGGGTGGGGGGTGTTAGCTGGGGTGGGGGAGAGGGGAATAGCTAAGGTGGGGGTAATAGTGGTGGGGTTGTAGTATTGGCTATAAATATGGGTGTGTAAAATAGTAGTTGTGGGGTGGGGGTGTAAAATAGTAGCTATGGGATGTAAGTCTAAAATAGTAGCTGTGGGGTGGGGTGTAAATTGTAGCTGTGGGGTGGGGGTGTAAAATAGTAGCTGTGGGGGTGTAAAATAGTAGGTGTGGGGTGAAGGTGTAAAATAGTAGCTGTGGGGTGGGGTGTAAAATAGTAGGTGTGGGGTGGGGGTGTAAAATAGTAGCTGTGTGGTGGGGGTGTAAAATAGTAGCTGTGGGGGTTTAAAATAATAGCTGTGGGGTGGGGGTGTAAAATAGTAGCTGTGGGGGTTTAAAATAATAGCTGTGGGGTGGGGGTGTAAAATAGTAGCTGTGGGGGTTTAAAATAATAGCTGTGGGGTGGGGGTGTGAAATAGTTGCTGTGGGGTGGGGGTTAAAATAGTAGCTGTGGGGGTTTAAAATAATAGCTGTGGGGTGGGGGTGTGAAATAGTTGCTGTGGGGTGGGGGTTAAAATAGTAGCTGTGGGGGTTTAAAATGGTAGCTGTGGGGGTTTAAAATGGTAGCTGTGGGGTGGGGGTGTAAAATAGTAGGTGTAGGTGGGGGTGTAAAATAGTAGCTGTGGGGTGGGGGTTTAAAATAGTAGCTGTGGGGTAGGGGTGTAAAATAGTAGCTGAGGGGTAGAAGTCTAAAATAGTAGCTGTGGGGTGGGGGTGTAAAATAGTAGCTGTGGGGTGGGGGTGTAAAATAGTAGCTGTGGGGTGGGGGGTTAAAATAGTAGCTGTGGGGTGGGTGTGTAAAATAGTAGCTGTGGGGTGGGGGTGTAAAATAGTAGCTGTGGGGTGGCGGTGTAGATAGTAGCTGTGGGGTGGGGGTGTAAAATAGTAGCTGTGGGGTGGGGGTGTAAAATAGTAGCTGTGGGGTGGGGGTGTAAAATAGTAGCTGTGGGGTAGAAGTCTAAAATAGTAACTGTGGGGTGGCGGTGTAGATAGTAGCTGTGGGGTGGAGGTGTAAAATAGTAACTGTGGAGCGGGGGTGTAAAATAGTAGCTGTGGAGCGGGGGTGTAAAATAGTAGCTGTGGGGTGGCAGTGTAGATAGTAGTTGTGGGGTGGGGGTGTAAAATACTTCGTGTCGATTGGGGTAGGGTGGGAATTGGTGTAGTGGGGGTGACGCTGAATCGGTAACTGCGAAGGTGAAGTGCTGGTAAAACTGTAGCAGCTAAGTTGTTGTCTTTGAGTGGTAGATGTGGGATTGGGTCAGTGAGGTGGAACTGTGGTAGCAGATATAAGCGTGGGAGAGGGGGATAGGTGGGCTGGAATGGTAGCTGTGGGTTGGGCTTAGTGGGGGGGGGGGGTCTACTGTAAAGAGCCAACCCAGCGTCCTCGCTTAGGACAGAAAGTTACTAGGTCTAGTCTAGAATACTAGAGTCTAGATCTATCTAGAACCTATAACGTGGTTAGAGTTGGGCGTAGGATTAGGATTACATTTGAATGAAGGTTACGATTAATTATCTTAACAAATATAAACTACTGATTGATCAAATTTAAAATTGAAACTAAAATCTCATTCATAGCAAACAATTCTAATAGCAGTCCTTTCCAAGCCATAAAAATAAAAACAAAATGGCCATCAAATTAATACATCTAGATCTAGATCCAGATTATGTTATTTTGACATGCAAGCCAATATAATTTATCTGATAACGAAAGGAAATGCTTGTGGGCGAGTGGGGCAGGTTGTTGACATGTAGAATCTAGATCTAGATTATTTGTAGATCTACATCTGGTTAAGCAAAACTTTGTAGATGTTCCGAACTTGTTAGGCCACTAACAAGACTATAGAATAGACAAGGTCTAGATCTAGATATCTAGATCTAGATTGTATTGTATTATGTTTATTTAGATATCTATAATATTAGAAATCAGTCTAGATCTCTAGATCTACAATATAACTACTCTAGTTGTAAACAATAAATTAAAGAGGTAGATCTAACCTAGACCTAGATCTCTAGATCTAGTAACCTACTCCAAACAATTGTTTGATAGTCTAGAATCGTAATTCATGTTCATTTATGATAGAGAGACCTTACTCTAGAATCTAGATCTATTCTAGATCTAAATCAATCAATATTCATCAAGCAAGCAGCTCTAATTTATTCGCTGCAAGATACCTTTGTCCTGTACCGACCGTTGTCAACAGTACATGCAGGCACTGGCAACATTCACTTCAAAACAAACCTTATTTTTCAAAGACAAACGCCACGAACAAACGGATTTCTGTGATGTACGGATAGAGAAAAAACCTACTCACCTGGTTCCCACACTGTCCGCACTGTATATGCACAATCTCTCTCATACTTTGTCCTTTCAGGAGCGACGGAAAATTTCCGAGACGACAACCCCTCTTCTTGTAATCTTGCGGTAACTAGGGCGTACCGTTTCCATGACCGACAGAGACACACAGCTACGTCATGATGTTCAATAGCAGAGCGCTCTGGAACCCTTGGTGCGTTCAAGTTGTGTGCAAATTACACTAACTTGGACTCAAGTAAATAGTGGTTGAAAAAAACAAGTTCATGAAGAAGTAAAATAAAAACAATAAAACAATTCAAGATTTAGATTTTTTGCATAAGTCTAGATTTGTCGCATTTGTTTAATTATTTATTGTCGGTTTTTAACACTGTTTTTTCGACGGGAAATTTAATTTTTTTTTGAAATAATGAAAAAGTTTATGAATTATTTTAATAAAAGTCCGAAAAAGTATAGTCTAGTGACGTCTAATGTATTAAATATGCAAAGGTTAAATGGCGATGTAAATTTAATCTTTAAAAAATAAATAACAAAACAATATTTTATATTCGAACGCTTTAAATACTTTAAGCCTATTGAAAATCGTCGACTCATGCGTGTAATATAAGGGTATTTTTCGTCTATTCCGCATGCAAGAGGTTTGGTTTAAGAATATTTAAATTTTGTTTAAGTTTTTTTTTTTCAATTATTTAGTATTCTGAGCGACAGATGAAGACAGTGGACGATTGAAAGGTCACAATCCGGTAGAAAGGGGGGGATGGGGAGGTTCAGGGCTTTTATGACGAGAGAAAGAGAGAGAGGGGAGGTATTTCAGAAAATGGGACGACACACTGAAATTTTAAAAATAATGCTACAAACCAAATATTACTCGTTTTCTAAAGACTTTTTTGTGATTTGTAATAAAAATTAATCTAGAGGTAGGAGAACGGGGGAAGGCGGGTGCCTGGGTGGTAGTCATGGATGGAATGGACAGGCTGTCTACAAGCTCCCCCCCCCCCTCCGGAAATAAATACATTCGGCCACCTCCTGACTTAAATTTTCATGCTGCACTTTTTTTCCCCAGCTAAGCCTGACGACCGACGCTTACAAAGTCACGGGTCACTTTACAAATTGCAATATACGATTATAACAAAAAGACAAAACGGAAAAGTTAAGTGAAGAAATACATTTAATAACAATCAGAGGCGTAGTGAAGGGCGGGGGGGGGGGGGGGTACATATGTCTCCGAGCGCCGATCCCCTAGGGGGCGCCAAAATGGGTTGGATAAAAAAATTAAGTTAATTTTAGCTGCAGTTTTGCATTATAAATATTAAAAAAAATATATGAGGGGGGGGCGCCAAATTGAAAGATTGACCCCGGGAAGGGTCGCTACGCCTCTGATAACTATAAAAATCAAAGCACTTATAGGCCAATTACAACACTGATCCTATCGGCCCCACCGGATTTTTTTCCTTCCGGCCCACCGGAATTTACCCCTTGTCCCGGCGACCTAATCTGGTGGTAGTCAATCGAAAGCCTAATAACTAGATCCTTTTCAGATAAAAAATATTACATTTAATTATTTCATTTAAAATGTAACAAGACAAAGACATACTAGATATCATAACGATAACCGATTTTTAATAGACATAATTAATTATCCAATTAACTGCCCAGCTTTGGTTGTTATTTAAATTATTGCCCCCCCCCCCCCCCCCCCCCCCCCCCCCCCCCCCCCCCCCCCCCCCCCCCGTCATTCTCACATTGCGCACGAGAGACTAGACAACGCCACCAAGTGACGCCGATGTTGACAATTCAGTATTAAACAAAAGACTAATGAACGTTTTCGGTGTTTGGCTTGACTCTTGACCTCTGACGTTTGAACTAGCTGGTAACTTAGGTCTGCCAAAACATGACCTTCCGGTTTCAAACGATGTATGTTTTCTGCCAGTTCTATCGCTGTTGTTCTTCTTGTTCTCTGAAGTCCTTCTGTCCAGCATACAGCCAGTTGTCTAGGTATCCTCTTAACTTGTGTTTACTGCTGAAATTACCTATTTCTTTCTTTATCCTCAATTCTCTTTTCCTCAATCCCCCCTCCCCCCATAGTTTCCCTCTCCCATTTTCCTAATCCCCCCCTCCCCTTCTAACTTTCCCCGCTGTAATCTACCTCGTACTCCACTTTCCTTACCACCCCGCCCCCCCCCCCCCCCCCTCCTTACACACCCAACCATCATCTAACCCTTTCTTCTGATAACCTTACAACAATGATACTGTTTTTTTTTTCTACAACGGTACGTAGAAACCCATCAACCCCCCCCCCCCCCCCCCCTCACCCCCCTCTCCTCCACAAACATTGTTCTACACCCGATCCCCCCCCTCGATAAAAAAAAAAACCCGCGGTATCACTCAAGTCTTCTGTCGTCGCCCCCACCCCACCGGCACCATCCGACGTTGGGCTTGAACCGAGTTACGCCGCTTATCTCGCTACAGCACAGAGTAGCTGCCCCTGACTAACCGACCCCCGGATAAAAACCAGCTCCCCTCAATCTCTGGCATCGTGTCCGACTGATCCAACAAACGGCAGCATTCTTCTGCCGGAGTACGGCCGATTGTCACGTTTGATACGGCCGGGCTGACTTTTCGTTTTTCGACTCGGTACTTTGGACTTCTTAGTAGTCCGCGGATTTCTAGTTGGCGATTTGACTGGCGCCTGTGTTTCAGTGGTTGGGCGGGGAAAAGTCATGAAAAGTTTTGGTTTACTTTGGTAACGAAAAAAGTGTTTCTTTCAAACTGTCTCTTCTGGGGGGGGGGGGGGGGGGGGGGGGGGGGGGGGCACTTGAAAAATAATTGGGGGGGGGGGGGTGATTATTCATTTTCTATATTCATTTTATTTCGTTCAGGAGGTGGGGGGGGGGAGCACTGAAGAAATACCCGAAAGACAGTGAACGAAAAAAACACAGTATAAATTATATTATAATGCAATAAACATAAACGCGAATGTAAAGGGAAGTTCTTTAGCTTAAAGGTAGCCCCGCCCTCCACCTTCTCCTCTTCAATCTATCCTCACCACACACATCAAACAACACCACACACATTCAACAACACCAATCACATATTATTGTGAACGCCTTCCATTAATAATACCCAAAAGTATATAATATTGAATCACATTCACACACACCATCAGGCAATACACCATTACACACACCATCAGGCAATACACCATTACACACACCATCAGGAAAAAACACCATCACACACACCATTAGGCAATACACCATTACACACACCATTAGGCAATACACCATTACACACACCATCAGGAAAAACACCATCACACACACCATTAGGCAATACACCATTACACACACCATTAGGCAAAACACCAGTACACACACCATCAGACCACCACCACCACCACATATAACTGTATTACATGCAAGGAAATAACTAAGGGACGGTGTGGTCGAATGGTCGAGCATTCTAATGCTAACCGGAAAGTCTCGAGTTCGCATCCCTGCCTCATTCTATACAACGTCCCTGAATCCACCCAACTCTGACGGGTACCTGACTCACGTTGATCACACAATCCCTTCATATGCCGAGGTTAAGACATGAACTCTACGCAACACCTCCCCACACACATTACACCTCCCCACACACAACACAACACCTCCACACACGCAAACCTCCACTTAGCGCCGTTAGAAAAAACATCTACCACGTCACTTATCGAAACAAACTCCATCACAAACTCCACCACAAACTCCACCACAAACACCACCACAAACTCCACCACAAACACCATCACAAACACCACCACAAACTCCACCACTAACTCCACCACAAACACCACTAACACCCCAACATACACCTCCATAAACACGACACCTGGATACACCATGATGATACTCCATGATACCTAAAGATACCCCAGTGCCGCGAGTACTTCCGGGTCATGTTTTTATCTCCCCCTAATTGCCGCGCTCCGCTGATAAAATCAGAAGACGTTAGTGCCAGACCAGTGACGTCCTCTGGCAGCAGTGGACGTGTCGGGTCTGGAGTCACAACAAGAAATCTGAGTGGGGGTAAGGGGGTGGCAGACGTAACGAGAAATGTGGGGTGGGGTGAGGTGGGGGGGGAAGACAGTTGTAACAAGAAATGTGGGGTGGGGGTTAAGGGGAGGGGGCTGGGTAAGGGGGGGGGGGGGTCAGACGTAACGAGAAATGTGGGGTGGGTTGAGATGAGGGGGGGGGGGGGGAAAAGACAGTCGTAACAAGAAATGTAAGTGGGGTTAGGGGGAGGGGAGCAGTAGTAAAATGAAATGTGGGGGGTGGGGGGGTGAGGTGGGGTGAGGGGGGGAGGGGGGGAAGACAGTCGTAACAAGAAATGTAAGTGGGGTTAAGGGGAGGGGGCTGGGTAAGGTGGGGGGGGGGGGGGCTCCCCGAAGCACGTCCACAGCCAACTCTCTGACATAGAAAATATAAATAAATGATATAAAAAATATATACTTTCATCAG